TATATATATATATTATTCCAACACTAAATCATTATGCTATTCAAAGTTGATACTTATTAAAACAATTAAGTCTACTGAGCTACCAAAAAGCAACATTTAAGTAATAAAATGCAATTTCTGAGATTTGCCCATCCCATCCCATTATTCCAAGCTGGTTATTGTCTTTCCCGAAAACTGCTTTAGTGACGAAACAATTCTCACCCTCCAGTCAAAACAATAGTTAAAAGCTCAAACAAACATAATAACCAGTCAAAACAGAAAACTGTGCAAATTAAGCATCTGGCCTCATGTTCCCATGTGCAGAGATACCTCTACATGCTGAGTGATTGGCAGGAAGTCGCGCCTTTCAGTCCCGATACACACTGCGAGGTGATTTTGAGGCATGCTGGGTAGCAAGCTAAACTTAGTAGCAGACACATTTTTGCACTGCACATAATGGACGCCTCCAGATCCCCACACGGAATTTCCTGAAGCAGCAGGTGAAAGCAACTGTGTAATTAGACGCAGGTCGCACACAGGAAAACGCCAGCATCGTCCATTATCTCCTCTCCTGCTGCTTGAACTAAACCATGTTTAAGGGAACTCAGTGGGACTGTCACTCAGGACTCTGATTAGGACTCTGATGTGGCATTAGAGCCATTTCGGAGAGTATTATTGATTTTTCTTTGGCAGCATTTTATTCCTTTCAGCTAGATTCATTACGATGTAAGCCATTACTTACAGTGGGGAAAAAAGTATTTAGTCAGCCACCAATTGTGCAAGTTCTCCCACTTAAAAAGATGAGAGAGGCCTGTAATTTTCATCATAGGTATACCTCAACTATGAGAGACAAAATGAGAAAAAAAAATCCAGAAAATCACATTGTAGGATTTTTAAAGAATTTATTTGCAAATTATGGTGGAAAATAAGTATTTGGTCAATAACAAAATTCAAACGTTTTCTGTAAGTCTCCACAAGGTTTTCACACACTGTTGCTGGTATTTTGGCCCATTCCTCCATGCAGATCTCCTCTAGAGCAGTAATGTTTTGGGGCTGTCGCTGAGCAACACGGATTTTCAACTCCCTCCAAAGATTTTCTATGGGGTTGAGATCTGGAGACTGGCTAGGCCACTCCAGGACCTTGAAATGCTTCTTACGAAGCCACTCCTTCATTGCCCGGGCGGTGTGTTTGGGATCATTGTCATACTGAAAGACCCAGCCACGTTTCATCTTCAATGCCCTTGCTGATAGAAGGAGGTTTTCACTCAAAATCTCACGATACAAGGCCCCATTCATTCTTTCGTTTACACGGATCACTCGTCCTGGTACCTTTGCAGAAAAACAGCCCCAAAGCATGATGTTTCCACCCCCATGCTTCACAGTAGGTATGGTGTTCTTTGGATGCAACTCAGCATTCTTTCTCCTCCAAACACGACAAGTTGAGTTTTTACCAAAAAGTTATATTTTGGTTTCATCTGACCATATGACATTCTCCCAATCCTCTTCTGGATCATCCAAATGCTCTCTAGCAAACTTCAGACAGGCCTGGACATGTACTGGCTTAAGCAGGGGGACACATCTGGCACTGCAGGATTTGAGTCCCTGGCAGCGCAGTGTGTTACTGATGGTAGCCTTTGTTACTTTGGTCCCAGCTCTCTGCAGGTCATTCACTAGGTCCCCCCGTGTGGTTCTGGGATTTTTGCTCACAGTTCTTGTGATCATTTTGACCCCACAGGGTGAGATCTTGCGTGGAGCCCCAGATCAAGGGAGATTATCAGTGGTCTTGTATGTCTTCCATTTTCTAATAAGTGCTCCCACAGTTGATTTCTTCACACCAAGCTGCTTACCGATTGCAGATTCAGTCTTCCCAGCCTGGTGCAAGTCTACAATTTTGTTTCTGGTGTCCTTTGACAGCTCTTTAGTCTTGGCCATAGTGGAGTTTGGAGTGTGACTGTTTGAGGTTGTGGACAGATGTCTTTTATACTGATAACGAGTTCAAACAGATGCCATTAATACAGGTAACCAGTGGAGGACAGAGGAGCCTCTTAAAAAAGAAGTTACAGGTCTGTGAGAGCCAGAAATCTTGCTTGTTTGTAGGTGACCAAATACTTATTTTACAGAGGAATTTACCAATTAATTCTTTAAAAATCCTACAATGTGATTTTCTAGATTTTTTTTCTCTCATTTTGTCTCTCATAGTTGAGGTATACATATGATGAAAATTACAGGCCTCTCTCATCCTTTTAAG